GCAGATCATACGGTTGAGCCCCATTAAAATCGAACTGAGTTAAAGGCTGTTTCTGTTCATTGCTGTCCAAAGGGACGCCACAGACACAAACAGGCCGTCAGGAACCGGGCTCCTCAGCCACCGTCCGACAACCAGCACTCACACACAGAGAAACTGCAGCTCAGCCTCACCTTGTCCCATTCCAACCACTGCACAACCGCCCGATCCAAATCATCACACTCCGCCATTGCAATCCGACAGTCCCCGAACAGCAGAGCTGCTCAACACACCCTTCTGCACCTTGGCCCGACCACAGACACTGACCAATCACAACGCAGCCTGAACAACTGACCAATCGCACCTCCGGCACGGCAACTGACCAATCACAACTCGCACTGAACAACAACCCAATCACAGCCGGCTCTGCGCAAACGACCAATCACAGCCAGGGTAGTGTAACGGACCAATCAGAGCCCGAAACAAAAACAAAGTTGCTGGAAAAGTTCACGTATAGTAGGAACTGCAGATGCTGGAGAATCTGAGATAACAAGGTATAGAGCTGGAAGAACACGTTTCGGGCCTAGACCCTTCTTCAGACCCTGCTCCTCCGATGCTGCTTGGCATGCTGTGTTCATCCAGCTCTACAACTTGTTATCTCTGCTGGAAAAGTTCAGCAGGTCTGGCAGCATCTGAGAGACTAATGATGACCGTGAATCCATTGTCGATTGTTGGGAAAAACCCATCTCGTTCACTAATGTCCTTTAGGGAAGGAAACTGCCATCCTCACCTGGTCTGGCCTACATGTGGCTGCAGACCCACATCAATATGGTTGACTCTTAACTGCCCTCTGGGCAATTAGGGATGGGCAATAAATGCTGCCCAGCCAGTGACGCCCTCATCCCATGAATGAATAAAGATAAAGAACTCAATCCTGGATACAGCGTTCACCAAAGTTGGTGCTCTGCTACTCGCATTATTGATGAGCAGAGAGATCTCAGTGTCCATGTGCATAGATCACTGAAAGTTGCCACCCAGGTTGATAGCGTTGTTAAGAAGGCGTACGGTATGTTAGGTTTTATTGGTAGAGGGATTGAGTTTCGGAGCCATGAG